CATATTCATGAGAAAACTCAAAAGGACAAAGAAGATGAAGGAATGGAGGATTCTATAATTCAAGAGAATCAAACAAACATGATTCCTCAAAGAGAGTTGAGAATCTCAAGAAATCATCCTCTTGAAAATATCATTGGAGACATATCAAAAGAGGTAACTACTAGATACTCTCTCAAAGAAGCATGCAATAATTTGGTTTTTGTTTCTAAAATAGAATTTAAAAATCATTGATGAAGCCTTAAATGATGAACATTGGATAAATGCTATGCAAGAAGAGTTAAATCAATTTGAGAGAAATCAAGTATGGAAACTAGTCCCTAGACCATATAATCATCCAATTATTGGAACCAAATGGGTATTTAGAAATAAATTAAATGAACATGGTATAATTATAAGAAACAAAGCTAGACTAGTTGCTAAAGGATATAATCAAGAAGAAGGCATAGATTATGAAGAAACATATGCATTTGTAGCAAGACTAGAAACCATTAAAATGTTAATAGCCTATGCATCTATAATGAATTTCAAACTATATTAAATGGATGTCAAAAGTGCATTTCTAAATGATTTTATTCAAGAAGAAGTATATGTTGAACAACCTTCTAGATTTGAAAACTCATAATTTCCAAACCATGTCTTTAAGTTGGAAAAGGTTGTATATGGATTAAAACAAGATCCTAGGGCATGGTATGAAAGACTAAGTAAATTTCTTTTAGAAAAAGAATTTACAAGAGGAAAGGTTGATACAACATTAATTTATCAAAAGAAAAATGAATGATATTCTTATAGTGCAAATTTATGTTGATGATTTATTTTTGGAGCTACTAATGATCACTTGTGCAAAAAGTTTTCTAATGATATGCAAAGTGATTTTGAAATGTCCATGATGGAAAGGAAAATTAATTTTTTTTTTAAATCAAAGCAAAAATAGTAAGAATTTACACAAAAGATTTGGAATGGAAAATTTTTGGCTTGCTCTTTACCTTTGGATTATTTTGTTATTATATTCTTTTTGATGTTGCCAAAGGGGGAGAGAAAGGATAAGGATCACAAAAGGAAAAAGACAACATTTATCTTAATCCTCTACTTGACTTTTTGATGTTGCCAAAGGGGGAGAGATAGATAAGACCGCAAAGGAAAAGAAAATGTTTTTCTTTTGTCTAACATTACTTTGGGCTAAGTTTGACTAAAATATTTTGACAAAAATATTCTTGATGCTCAACTTGACACTTATGTTTTAAAATATAAACATTGATCTCTACAATCTTTTTCAAAACATAAGTACAACTCCTTTTATAAAATAAAAGTAACTTCAATCAATGTTTTACTAAGGGGAGTTTAAGGGGGAGTGATCGAAATACATTATTTTATTTTCTTTCCCTTTACAGTGAATTGTCATCATCAAAAAGGGGATGAATGTGGAAGAAAATATGCACAAAGTTTTGATGATGCCAAAGCATTGAAGAAAATAAAGATCAAGTTAAAGCAAGCAGATCAAGAAGCAAGATCTCAAGTAATAACTAGATAAGTCTTGACTGCTTAGCTTAGTATGTAAAATGAACTTTTAGAATTTGCAAATTTGACTTGGCCATTAAAATAAGGATTTCAAGAAAACCTAAACTTAATCTTTTTGAATATATGAATAAGTTGTTTGAAAAGAAAGCACAAAGAGTATTCAAAAGATTAAACAAAAATATTTTTAACTGAAAAATAGAAGTTTTCTATATCTTAAGTTTTCATAAGCCAAATCAGGTGATATGTGTCTGGTAATCGATTAACACTTGATGTAATCGATTACCAGAGAAAGAAAACTTCTTTGTGCAAGGTTCAAATGCTAAAATTCTCTCTGGTAATCGATTACCAGAAGATAAAATTTCAAAATTTGAATTTAAATTATACAACATTTCAAACATTTTGAACTTAAACCGTTGTAATCGATTACCAAGTCTTGTAATCGATTAACAGAGCCTATTTTCTGAAAAATTATAGAAAGTTACAACTCTTCATGAAAAGACATAACCTAAGAAACAATTGTCTATAAATACCTATAATTTTTCAGAGAAAGGTGACGAACTCTATTGTGAAAATCATTTACAAAAACTACTTGGCCAAAGTCATTTGCAAAATCTCTAAAGAGTTCTTTAAGATCATAAAAGTGTAATATCTACTCTTCAAAGAGAGTCATTCTGTAAAACTCAATTGATCATTGGATCTGTAAAGGAGAAAGGGTTTTTCTCCTTGTTGGTGTTTGAATCTCAACACAAGGAAAGGGAGTTCCGAGGTGTTGGAGGATTCAAGTCTTGTAAGGTTTACAAGAGTAGTGGAAATCTCAAGTGGGAGACTTGAGGACTGGATGTAGGCAGGATTGGCCGAACCAGTATAAAATCAAGTTTGCAATTCTTCTTTCCCTACACTTTTAATTTCTTGTTATTAATTATAATTGTGTAGTTTGCATCATCATTCATTCTTTACATACAAATTTGTCTAAGGAAACCTACACGTTTATTTATTTTTTATTTAATTGTGTTTGGGTTGTTCTACATCATCATTCTTTACATACAAATTTGTCTAAGGAAATAAATTGATAAGAAAGTAATTTGGAAAAGTTTTTTTTTTACAAGAAGAAATTAGAAAACTTAATTCACCCCCCCCCTCTTAAGTTATACGAGGCTAAGTGACTAACAGAACTTATACACCTTTGCCTGTTGCTTTGTCCCCTTGGGTAGATATTAGTATGGACTTTGTGCTAGGATTGCCTAGAACCCAATCTTTGTGGTGGTGGATAGGTTTTGCAATATGGCACATTTTATTCCATGCCAAAAGGTAGATGATGCAAGCAACATAACAAAACTCTTCTTTGGGGATGTGGTTAAACTCCATGGACTCCCTAAGACTATATTATCTGATAGAGATACTAAGTTCCTAAGCCATTTCTAGAAAATTGTATGGTTAAGGCTAGGAACTAAGTTACTATTCTCTACCACTTGTCATCCTCAGGCTGATGGACATACAGAGGTAGTCAATAGGTCTCTATCCATTATGCTTAGAGCAGTCCTAAAGGGAAACCAAAAATCTTGGGATGAGTATTTGCCCCATATTGAATTTGCTTATAACAGAGGAGTCCATAAAACTACTAATATCTCTTCTTTTGAGGTTGTGTATGGTTTTAATCCTTTCACACCTATGGACTTGATACCTCTACTTGATGTTACACATTTTATTCATAAGGAAGGGGGCTTCAAGGACTGAATTTGTTAAAAAGTTATATGAGAGGGTTAAACATCAGATACAACAATAATATGAGAGATACACCAAATATATCAATAGGGGCAAAAAGAAAATGATTTTTGAGGAGGGTGACTGAGTTTGGCTTCATCTTAGAAAAGAGAGATTTCCACAGAAAAGGAAGTCTAAACTCAATCCCCGAAGAGATAGACTCTTTCAAGTCATTCAACGCATTAATGATATTGCATATAGGCTTGACCTCCCAGATGATTATGATGTTAGTCCTACTTTTAATGTATGTGATTTAACACCTTTTATAGGAGCTATTGATGATGAGAAGGAGCCTATAGATTTGAGGATGATTCCTCTTCAAGAAGAAGGGGATGATGGAGGAGCATGGACCAAGGGTTCAACCACCAGAGCCATGGCTAGGAGACTTCATGATAATTTGACTGCTTTAGGGCTTGGTGGGCCTAGTGGACTTGGTGGAGCCAATGTGCTCTTCACTTGGGCCACTCCTTGAGATACCTTACTTGTACATATTATATTAGTATAGGATTACACATATTTTGGTCGTGTATTTTGGGCCACGTAGATTAGGGTTTTGGGGCCTTAGGCTTAGCATGCCTATTTTTGGGCTTAATAGGTCTTGGGTATTTTGGTACCCAATCATTTTGCTTCTTTTATTATTTCTTAGTGATTTTGATAGGTTGGCCATTGTATTTAGGCCATTAGATTAGGTTTTGAGAGGAAAAACTCAATTGGGCAAACTTAGCTAAATTAAGTCACATTTAAGAGTAATTTGAATTGTATTTGGTGCACTTGTGATAGTCTAAGAGTGGCTGCACATGATTCACACTTAACAATACCAAATTAACCCTAAATACAACTTAAATCAAATGGGGTCTACACATGGGACTATACATGTGGCTGCCATGAAATTTGAATTTTAAATACCATTTAAAATTCAAATTTCCGACGCCAATTGGAGACATGTGCACTGGCGCCATCTGTGATGCTTCCTTGGCCTATAAATTAGGTTTCCCTCTTTCATTTGTATTCACTTTTGATATATGAAATTTCATAGCATTTGCTTCAGCCAAACCCTCTCCTTCAAAAGTTGAATTTAGGCACATAGAATTAAGGAACCTAGAAAGCTTCTAGGTAAGCTTTCTGAGCAATATTTTGCTCCCTTGACTTAGGTGCTTCCCTCTTCTTCTTCTATACGTTTTAGCCTCATCTTCTAGACCTTCTCACGTCCAAAATTCACTCAAGGAAGGTCCAAGAAACTTGGAATAATTTAAAGAAGGAATCATCATTCATTTTTTCAAGAATTGCCATCACCCCTCCTTTCAACAAAACAAAATTTCTAGCTCCTTACTTCCCTTCCCTTCCCCTCCCCTACTTTGAAACAACTAGACACTTAAGCAAATGTAAACAAATATTTTCATCCTAAATTTTATTGATTTCTTTTTTCATTTATAAAAAACATAATCATATTTAAATATAGTAATTAAATTGATTTTCATATAAATATATATTGATTAAATTAATCATCAAATCTTAAAAGGATATATTCCCGCTAGTAAACTTATTACCAGCATGTGAATCTTCTATTGTATCACAATGCTTGAATATAATATTTTACTTTTTGCGTCTTTTTTCACTGGCAGTACAATATATTGTTATTAAAGAACAGAAGAGCACCCAATCCCCTTTGTTTCAACCAAACAGAAGACATAGTTACCCAGTGCACACGGTGAACAAAATTCGTATATTAAAAGAGTATTTTATTTTATTTTAGAAAGATAAATTTCTCTTCCTCACTCCATGGCTGTCCTCGAAGATAAACTATTCACAAACAATATACAGGATACTAAATTCTTAATTTTACAAAGAAATGTTACTTTTAAATTTCCATACTCTGATGTCATCGGTATTGTGAGTGGTAACAATCTTCTTCATTCCAACAGCGAGGCATGTAATAGAAGGTCGAGCAGTCTTGGGAATAAGGTCAATATTTATGTAGGTATCTTCGGGCAACCTCCTTCCTTTCCTTATTTGAATGGATCCAGAAGAACTTTGAAATGTTGATAACAATTTATCCTCCACAACACAACTTGAAACAATACTTCCATCATTCTGATTTTGAAATCTCAAAATGCCATCTATTCCACCAACAGCTAATGTTGATGTGTCACCCTGCATGTGCTGTAAGGAGTATATAACATTAGGACTCACTCGGTTGCTCCACAACAGTTTCCTTGTCCTGCATGAAGTGAACAAACAAGGTTGAGCAACTGATAAATCAAATAGATAATTTTTTGTAGTGATTAAAAAGAAACGGATCACTACTGGTTTATGCTTGCAGTGCATTTCTGTTCCAAATCAGGGACATACTGTCACTGCCTTCAACTGGGTGAGTGTTGTGGTTACCTACCTAAGAAGGAACGAGGATTTTTAATTCTTACCTTGTCTGTTCTCTTAGCATGTTCATAAAAAAAAATTTAATGGAAGTACAAATATGAACATTTTCTAAATTTCTGGGAATGATACACCAGAGCCAGAGCCAGAGGAACATATAATGTGCCATACTCATTTAAATGAATATGGGGAATAGATACATATCCAATTGTATTCTAGATTATGATACATATTTTCTTTTATATATTTAAGTATCTGTAGATATACTTTTAATAGATGATTAAAAGAATAGATGCATTTTTTATTAGGGATATTTGTTGTATATATATAAGAAATTCTTTTATTTTTTTTCCCTTTTTATGCGCTCTAAAAGTTAATATTTACATAATATTCGAATGGTTTAATTAGTTGGTTCTTAATTACTTTAGGAATTTCATACCATTTTAGCATGTTCCCAAACGTTATATCAGCTTCAGATAATTCTTTTGTAACAAGTCATTACTAAATTTGTCTACTTGGTGTCCCCCTAACAGAGAAGATTAAAGCTACTCTCAATCAAATTCATGGAATTGATCAATATATTTTTTGTTGTAGCAATTTCCTATGTAGCAGCATGTACACCTTGAGTGTATGAATGCACTTAAGGAGAGACCTTTATTACTCTATTGCTGGCATACCTAAGGTCCCAACAATATGTAAATCCAACAGCTGATCCTGCGAACAATAGCTGAGAGGAGGGATTGAAACATAAGGTCCTTATGCCTGTGAGATAAACATTGAATCAGATTCACCTTCAGCATCAGAAATATAAAGTGCTTTTAAAATATTGGTTAAAACTAATCATGGCACTCCATATCATAAAATCAATATCCTCAACATATAAATATCTACAAAATATTTCACCAAATAGAACTAGTCCACCAAAAAAGGAGCATATATAAACTTAACTCCAACTAAAATGCCAGAAGTACTGGAGTATACCAATAGAATAACATTAGCATACAGGACAAGAGAAGTGCTAACCATGCACCTGGAAAAGAAAATATTATGCTGCAAGACCAAGTGCTGAAGCAGAGAAAAAAGAAGCCATGGGATCGACTATGTGTGAAATAGTTTGGCTCAAACAGTTACTTGAAGAACTCAAACGACATTCATGTTAAAACAAATGACAAAGTAGTGGATGTTTTCGCTATGTTTTTGAGAGGTCCTCGGATAAGTTCAATACGTAACAAACTTGGTGCATGACCTATTTCCTGTAGCTTGAAGGTGAGTGTTGGAGAATCTGTAAATACTGTATAGGTTCATTGTATTGGCTTAACCACATCATGTAATTACAGTAAGTAGGGTCATTTTAATCTGTATATTTATTATCCTCTATGTTGCATGGTTACGGCTATAGTACCGGTACCGATACGGGATACAATTTTTTTAAAATCTTGGATATGGGTACATTACTGTAAATCTTAAAAAAAAAATACTGTAACCTGTAATTTAGAAAAGAAAAAGATCATTAACTTTGTACATTTATTTGAAAAAATCCAAGTTCCACATCGATTAGAGATAGTACAATTAAAGAATATAAGTGAAGAGAATCCTCACCTTAAAAGCCAGTTTTATAGGATTGATTTAGGTTCCAACCACTTTCTAAGATAGTAACAGAGCTATTTAGATTTACTCTAAATTTATCACCCATCATTGACACGTGCACTAAACCTAATAGTGTTGGGCATGAAGGGGTGCATTGGAAAAAAATCCAAGTCTCACCTATCCAAGATCATTAAAAAAGGTCATCAATCATTTATTCATGTACTAAGTCCAATAATATTGGAAGTGAGGGAGTGTATTGGAAAAAATCCAAATCCATTTATGCATTTAAAGAGTATTTAAGTAAGGGATAATCTTCACCTTACAAATCGCTTTTGTAGAATTGAGTTAGACCCAAACCATTTTCTAACAAAACCAAAAAAAATATCTGAAAACAATATACTTATAAAAAAAATAATTATATATAAAGATGACTATATTTTATAAATGTTAAAGAAACAAATAAGCATAATTTATAACAATAAAAAATGTTAAATTGTTCAAAATGAAAAAAAAAAAAATTCTTAAAACAAAACTATAACATGTAAATGTTAATCAATGTTAAGACATCTGTATAACTATGATATCACACATTAACCGTTTCAATCTCTTAATTTCTTTTCATCCACCAATATTAGGAAAAATAATCAACTCTAAATTTAGTTTATAAAGAGTGACAACTTCAAGAAACTCAGTCCCATCAAATGAGTCACAATGATAACCCGATGAATCTGTTTAGACACCATGCAATGGGATGAAAATAAGTTAAGTCTTAAATAAGGATCTATGACCTGTCCTCTTTAAAGTCTGTTCTGACCTGACCTATTTAATAAAATGGTCAAATTTAGACTTTTAAAAAAGACTATTTATATAAAAAGGATAGACTTACGCTTATAAAAAAGTCTATTAGACCTGATAAGTCCGCTTATTTATTTATATAATATAATAAAAAATTAATATACATATATTATTAAAAATATAAATAAACAAATAAATTTATAAAACAAAAACAAATTATTTATATTTAAAATATCTTTTATACAATTGTCTTTTTTTCATTATAGGTTCATACGCTTACGACTTATGCATGAGTATACGTCAACATATATGGCTAAGTATGAATTGTCCCTCTAACAGAAAATGATTCAGTTATTCTCCTATATTTCTTTTAAAATTTAAATTTTAATAATATTGAGTAAACTATAATTTATAAAAATATTTATTTATATAATATAATAAAAAATTAATATACATGTATTATTAAAAATATAAATAAATTTATAAAACAAAAACAAATTATCAATATATAAAATATTTTTTTATACAATTTTTTTTTTTGATTATAAGTTTATAAACTTACGATCTGTGCGTGAACATACATTAATATATATGGCCATGCATGAATTGTTTCTTCAATAGAAAATGATTCACTTTTTTTCCTATATTTCTTTTAAAATTTAAATTTTAATAATATTGAGTAAAATATATTTTAAAAATAAATTTGTTGATTTTTAAAAATTAAGTTTATTGGCCTAATTAATATTATTAATATAAATAGGTTTTTAATAAGTTAATAGGTCAAGTCAGACTTTAAAAAGGTTAGACAGGTCTATAAAAAAAACTACATATTCAAAGTCTGGTTTGGCCTAACCTATTTCCATCCCTAACCCTACACTCAAATGTTATGAGAACGATCTAGAACCTGGATTCGACTCCCGTTGTGTATGAAAATTTGTTGGGTCAACAACATTCACACTAACGCGAGCAGGATCAATCTCTAGCCCAGTGGGCTGGAGGATACCCGTGGCCGGACCAAAATAAAATTGATTCACAATTATCGATTTAGCAGGTCAAGAACAGAGACTCTCTTATGCCATTTTTTAACTTATTCTCACTAGGGATGACAAAAAGAACCGTTCCTGCAGGTATCCATGGATAAAATCTGTCACGGATAATTAATGGGTAGACAAAATGGATACCTGCGGATAACAAGTACAGATATTTTTCTACCCATTTATAAATATCCTTATATTTATCTTGCGTTTTTTTTTATATTTATTCTTAATATTTCAAAAAAATTAATGTTAAATGCAAGTTAAAAAAATAATGTCAAATTTTATCTTTAACATTTCAATAGAATTGACATCAAATACAAGCTTAAATTCATTTGTAATATTTTTTTATTTTTGTAAAAAATTCACAAATATCCATGGATATATGTGGATATTTATAAAATTTACAAGTATCCATTTAACAAATATCCACACAGGTGGGATGGTTTTTTACACAACAAGGCAAGGATGGGTACCCTACTATCCATCCCACGGGGTCCTATTGTCATCCCTTGCTCACACCATACACGAAGAATACATAAAGGATAATATATTTTTTCACTAAAAGATAATATTTTTTATTTATCAGACCTAGGGTATGGGCTTGATATGTACCCAAATAGAACCCAATTTAAGTACCCTTTTTCTTTTTGGTTTGGAAGATGTTTTTGGTACGTACCCAGGAGTACCCATTGCATACCGGATGAGCACATACTCTATATGTGTACGACATAATTTTTGGAGTACCCATGCATAAGAGATTATCATTAGTATATATAATTCAGCTCGTGTAGCGTTTAGAGACAGAATATATCTGTTGTCTTCTGTATTGTTCTTCCCTTAACATTAATCAAAATGGCAATTGAATGGGACAAATTTGTTACCTCTGGCATCACTTGATCTAAGTGTTGCTACCTGCTGAACAGAGGAAGGAT